GCTCCTTACGTTAAGCTCCTTAAAACGCTCCAGCCGCAAACCCTCCAGAATCCACGAGACCCTAAACCCTAAACCCTAAACCCTAAACCCTAAACCCTAAACCCTAAACCCTAGACCCTATACCCCAAACCCCAGACCCTCAAGCCCTAAACCCTATACCCTAAACCCTCAGGCCCTCAAGCCCTAAACCCCGAAACCCTCGAACCCGAAGCTCGAAACCTACAGGGCGTTAGGGTCCAGAGGGTTTCGGACTTCGAGTTCGCCTCGAGATTTTTAAGGCTTTAGGGGTTTAGGGGTTTAGGGTTTAGGGTTTTTCGGGTTTAGGGGTTTGGGGGTTTAGGGTTTAGGCGTTAGGGGTTTAGCTTTTACGGGTTAAGGGTTTAGGGTTCAGGGTTTAGGGGTTTAGGTTTAGGGTTTAGGGGTTAGGGGGTTTAAGGGTTGGTGCTCAAGCTACACAAGTTTACGCGTGTCAAGAGGTCCCGAGGCGCATGGCTAAGGATCGTGGGAGACGGCCCTTTCGGGTTTTTGTTTCGAGTCTCACGTTGCAGGTCGAACCGAGCCCCGAAATAGTAGCGAGGTGCTAGCCTTAAGGGTACAAGGCGGTTTAGGGTTTAGGGTTTAGGGTTTAGGGTTTAAGGTTTAGGGGGGGGGGATTTGTGGGTACATGCCCACTCTGGACTGGGAGACTTCTTCTTGAAAGCGGCGGAAGGCCACGAAGCTCCAGCTTGTGCACGTAACCTCAAAGTCCTGAGAATGTTCAGACGGCGCTTGGGCATTTGCTATTTGCCACCGGGCATGTCCCACTAGTTGAAGGGTATAAAGTCCGTCTCAGGCATTTTGGGCTGAACCCTAAACCCTGAACCCTCGTAAGATTAACTTATCTGTCTGAGTATAAGGGACAGCGCAGCAAACAGGCTGGCCTCTGCTGACGAATTGTCTTCATCAGCCCACTTGAAGACCTGCACAAAAGAGGCCTCATTGAGATCGAGTATCTCAGTTTGAGGTGCGAACTTGCCACAGCTGAATAGGACACCAAATAGCAGGATCCAAGTTCCAAATACTGCAGGCCATGGACGTGGGTTTCGGAGCCATGACAGTCTTGTCGACGCACAACTATGCCGAGAGACACGGCCCGTTGCTATGGCAACTGTGTGGTGGCCAGAACGTCGATCCATCTGACGCACCAATAATGCCTACACTCCAGAGCATGCACCCGAAGGCTGCGCAGCTCCTGCATGCACCGCCAAGTTCTTTCTCCACATGGCGGATTTCAATGTCCGACACTTATGGAATTGATGCTGTTGTCCTCGGAAAATACAAGGTGCGACATAGTCTGGGGGCTGTTAATGCCCTAAACCCAAAACCCAAAACCCTAAACCCTAGAAGATGACAGCGCGTCCTCCGGTTTGAGACCTTTAAGCAACCTAACATGAAAATGATCGAAACTGCGCGCCTCAGAGCATAGGCTCTAAAAGCATCAACACCCGACAGGCAGCAGCCGTAGATCTTAAAGCACCCTCAGCCCTAAACCCTTAACCCTAGACCCTAAAACCTAAACCCTAAACCCTAAACCCTAAAACCTTAACCCTACACCCTACACCCTACACCCTAAACCCTAAACCCTAAACCCTATCAGGCTTGAACGCACGAAGCTGCGAGGCCCTAATTCGTAATCCCTGTAGTCCTTTTGCAAGAGCTATATACTGTAATTTTCCCTGAAACCCGGTTGCGCTGTATTTTTGATTGCATTCTTAACAGTTTTAGTTATGCTTTGGAATGTAATAATGTAAACACTACGCAAAACCGCCGTTAAACACTCAACTCTAGCTGTAAGCACTGGACCTGCCAGTCGCGCATGCTCACCCTCACGGTTTAGGGTTTACGGTTTAGGGTTTAGGGTTTAGGGTTTAGGGTTTAACCCTAAGCCCCTGTGCGGGGCCCTGAAGACAAACTGCAAGGCTCAACTTTCGATGTCAGCTCCCTGAGAGAGCAAAATCAAAGGGCTTCGAGTATTTAAGGATGATTGGGGCTCTACCCATAGGCCCCATAGTAATTCCTTTTTGGGATATAGGATTCTAAATATGAACCCCAAAAAGGAACTACTATGGGGCCTATGGGTACACCCATAAACCCTAAACCCACAACCCCAAATACTGACCCTGAACCCGGAATCCTAAACCCTTGGCGTGTTGTAAGTTCTGCAAGCGGGACCTGGTAATTCTGTCACAGGCCCCCTTAAAACTTCAAAGCCTTAAACCTTATGTCACAGGCTCCCTCCTGCGAGTGGTGCTGGAAGAACCAGTGCTGCTGAAACCGTACTGGGTCGTCTGATTCTCGGCCGGGGTTTAGGGTTTGGGCCCAGTTTTTGTTTTAGATGTTGCTTCAGGTTTAGGGTTTAGGGTTTAGGGTTTAGGGTTTAGGGTGACTTTTTGAATCGGTTTGACCAAGACCTTGTTCGGCCTATGGTCTCCTGGTCCTCTGGTCTTTTCTTTTCCCTTGGTCCCTTGGTCCTTGGCCCCTCGGCCTGGCCCTGCTTCTTGATGTCAACCCTAAACCCTAAACCTTAAACCCTAAACCCTAAACCCTAAACCCTAAACCGTAAACCCTAAACCCATAGGTCCTGGTTTCCTCCCTCGTCCTGGTACCCTGACCCTGGTCCGCTGCCCTACTGTCGTACACTTTGTTTAGGGTTTAGGGTTTAGGGTTTAGGGTTTAGGGTTTAGGGGTATCTTGACTAGTTGCATTGGTACTACTGATATGTCAAAGCGATTGTGCCACCATTAGTATTCTAAATATACTACTATACTACTCGTAGCGTTCCTATAATCGCGGTTATTACATGTTATTGCAATTATTACCATGCTTACCTCGGAAATATAATGCTCCTACTTTTATACTAGTAATACCAACCCCGTGCTTTTTAAGCCACAGCTCCCCAACCCCCGCTTTCTTCTTGAGCAGCGCAAGCTTGCTTTTTAGAAGATCGCCCATCAAGAGAAGTGCATCAACGCTTCAAGTAACCTGTCAGCCAAAACAGAGTTTCAGAACCCGTGAACAGAGTCTCCCGCACTGCTGTCTTCTTAAGCCGTGCGGGCTTGCTTTCAAGAACATCGCGCCATCCACAAGCATTGCGTCAAGCACATAATTCTTGTAAAACTTTTCAACATCTATCATACAGGCATTCTGCTGGCAAATGCGGGGGGCTGCGCCCGCCGAGCCCCCTGCTCTTTTAAGCTGTGCAGGCTCGCTTCAAGTATCATCTTGCCGGCAAAACAGAACCCTTATGAACCTTTCAGTGGTGGGCGGTTGCAGGCTCCGCACCACCCCGAACCCCCCTGCTTTGGTTTAGCCGTGCAGGCATGTTTTCAAGAACATCGCACCATCAACAAGCATTGCGTCAAGCACATCTCTATTATGGAACCTTTACAATCCTCATCATACAAGCATTCTTTTTGCAAATGGGGGCCCTTCGTCCCCCCCAACCCCCGCGCTTTCTTAAACTGTGCAGGATCGCTTCAAGTATCATCGTGGTAGCAAAGACAGATCGAGCCCATATGAACCCTTTCAGATCCCGTGAGGAAGACGTTATGTTTGCAAGTGGGCGGGTGCGCTCCCCGCCCAACACTCTCGCTTTCTTTTTTCGCCGCGTGGGCTTGCTTTCAAGAACATCGCACCATCAACAAGAATTGTTTCAAGCGCATATCTCTTACAGAATTCTTGAAATCCGTCATACAGGCGTTCTGTTTGCAAATGGGGTGCGGTTGCGGTTCTCAATACTGGTACTTTACATTGATGGAAAATAGAAGGGGATCGGTCGTTTTCCTATTCAAATATAGGAAAAGACAGGTTCAAAAGGCAATCAAAAAACAGAAATGTGCGTAATCAATGCTGCACCCATATACTTGGCGAGCTGACATTCTCGACTAGTTTTCGCACAAAGCGAAGCCTTGGAAATTGTACGTAAGTCCCCAACAGCTTCATGCGAAACCAAGCCGTGCAAACTGTAATTCGCAATAGCGAGCCCCGCACGTTGTAACTCTTCAATAGCTTGAAGCAAAACAACAATGTGCAATCAAAATCCCCGATTAGCTTCGCGCAAAACGAAGGCTTGCTTGCAACGAATTCCCGACGAGCTTCGATGCAGAAGATGCCCTGCAAATGGTATTCCCAAGTAGCTTGAAACAAGAGAAGGCCCAGAAATAGCTGTTCCCCAATAGCTTGCTGCAGAAGAACACCCACAAATGGGATTTCTCCAATGGCTTGCTGCAAAGGAAGACGCTACAGGTAGGCCTTCCCCAAAAGCTTCTTGCAAATCAAACTCAACGGACCCCTCGGCCAAACCTTCTTCTCCCCACCTCTTGGCCCAACCTTCTCAAAAAACCCTCCGCGGGGTTTTGTGTTTAGGGTTTAGGCTTTAGATAGGTTGCCTGAGTGTAGCATTTAGCGCGGTTAGGGTTCGTGGGTTTAGGCATGTTCAGGGTTGAGGGTCTGACTTCTCCTAGAGTCAGGGTTGGGGTCCTGTTGTTATCGAAGTTTACACTTTTAAGCTTGGCACCAGGAAGAAGGGGTCCAGAGAGTTTGGGGGACTAAGTCTGTTACCGTGTTGGTCTTACACGGAGTTTTTTCGACTAGACCCTAAACCCTAAACCCTAAACCGGGTGGTTTAAGAATTGTGGGCATTTACAACATAAGGCCTTTGGGCATGAGGCCTAGAGCGTGAATGGACTTCATGTCCGGGGTTTGGAGGGTTGGATTAAGACGTGCTGTAGCGTCTACTTGAGAAGGATCGAGGAGTTTTTAGGGTTTAGGGTTTAGGGCTTAGGGTTTAGGGCTTAGGGCTTAGGGTTCAGGGTTTAGGGTGGTAAGGGTTCTCAGTGGGCCGCTGTCCATTTTCAGTCTCAGGTTGAGGGTTCTAACTTAGTTCTATCTCCCTCTCCCTCTCTCCCTCTGACTTACTCTCCCTCTGCCTCTCCCTCCACTTCCGCTTTGGAGATTTTACAGGTTTAGGGCTTAGGGCTGATGGGTTTGGGGTTTTGGAGTTTGCAGCTGTAGTGGTGCAGAGAACAGGACCTCAGAGTCTGCGGGCTTGCAGTTTAAGGGTGCAGTGGTTTAGGTGTTTCGGGGTGTAGGGTTTTTGGGATGTTTTGAGGTTGTGCGGATCTTATAGAGCCTGAAGCCTAATTAAATCCCGCGCTTAGGGCTTGGGTCTTAGAGTCGTTGGCCACCCGTTGATCTGAGAGTTGTGGGCTTAAGGCTTAGCTAAGGAGGTTTTAGGGTTTTTGACCGCATAGCACTGCGCTCGCTTTTGGTCTGCATGTTGGACGTTCCGGCCTGACCGCATTACGATGTTAGGGGTTCAGGAGGTTTTGGTTCTTAGGGTCCTCAAGGCAGGGTGGTACAAAGGTACTGGGGATTTGGGGACTGCTGGCTTATACAGCCGCCCTTAGAGCCCCCTTTTTCTTAGTAAGTTCCGCTTTTTCGATATCATCCCTTTACGGTTCTTTTCAGGGTTCCTTGAAGGGCCCCTTTTAAAGTTTAAAACTCCGTATTTAAATCTAACTATGGGTTTAGTGATGCATTACAGGCCAGAGCGCTTCGAGATTTCCCCCCTCCCCGGCCCTGAACCCCTCGTCCTAAACTCCAAACCCTAAAAGCCCCGAACCAGCCCCCTAAACCCAAACCCTGCAAGCTTGATATCCATACATCTACAATTATCACACGACCCCTGTCGAAACTGTCTAGTGTCTACATACGTTCTGCAAAGCCCTACTGGCAACAGCACGACCCAAACTTCTAAACCTGCAGTCCCGTCGGGAAACGCTGAAGAACTACACCCCAAGGGCTAGGTTTCGGATTTTGGTTTAGGGTGCTGGGAGCAGGAAATCAACGGACAAAAAGCAACAGGAGATCTTATAAGAGGGCCCAACCCCCTGAACTCTCCCAGTGGTTCCAAAAGAGATCCGTTAAACCCTACACAAGAAGCCCAAAACCCCTACTAACCCGCCAAGCCCAAAACCCAAAACCCAAAGCCAGAGACCCTTACGTACGAAGTCCCCTAAACCCTAAACCCTAAACCCTAAACCCTAAACCCTAAACCCCGAAGCCGTTGACTGCGAGGTCCTGGATGCCAACCTCTTCACCTCGGACGACTGCACAGGGCCGATCAAGATGGACTGCGAGGGCTTGTGGCGGTTAGGGCTTGAGTTTGATTTTGAACGGGTTTCAAAAGTTTGGGGCTTTTGGGCTTTTGTTGTTTTTTGGAGGCTTCATGGTCTCTGCGAGGCTTCGATGCCATTTACAGCCTTTTCTTCTGATTAGGGCCAGTTTTTGTTGTTTCAGGTTTTGGAGATGTGTTTTTTGGGAGACAGGGGCTTGGGGTGAGGGCCTTCTGGGAGTCTAAGTCCATGCCCAAAGCACAGTCGGTTTAGGGTTTAGGGGTTTAGGGGTTTAGGGTAGGGTTTAGGGTTAGGGTTTAGGGGTTTAGGGGTTTAGTCGTTTAGGGGTTTAGGGCTGTGGGTTTAGGGTCTTCTCGACTCTTGGGCTAACATGGAACCATAAATTAACATGTAACCCGAAGTTGGCCTGAGCCAAAAATCGATTCGCGAGTTTCTACCCATTAGAGGGGCTTCTTAAATATGTCCCTGTACTTTTGTGGGACTCCTTGTTATAGTTATCGCATAATATACCCCGAAACCTTATTCTAATGAATAAATATTAAGACCCCTAAGCGTTTCCGCTATCACGGAACCCTGACTGAGTCTCTACACTAGGCTAAGATGTTGCCTCTCGAAGTTCGCTGTGAAAGGGGGGGGTCATCCATCGTGGGCCCCTCTCTCACGATGCATGCTAGTTTGAGGGGGGGTGTCTGCAAGCTGACATGCTTCCACTCTCCACCATTTTTGAATAGGGTTTGCATGGGTGTGTATTCTAGCATGATTATTACTGATTATTGCAAACTCTTCAGACTTATATCATACCATGTCAGCAGCCAGACAGTTGGAACATAGTAAAGTACGTGGAGGCCCTTCCTGTCCGATCCTTAGCCTTATCTGGCCTCAACCCATGTTTCACCTTTTTATACTTTACCATAAGCCGCAAACCTCCGTTATCCGCCTTCAATTGAAATCGTAGGCGCCATAAGCCCTTAAGCCGAAATCCCAGTTAGGGTCTCGGTCAGGGCTTGGTGCTGGATGCTCATACTTGCGGTTTGGGGTTTAGGGTTCGAATGTATAGTTTGCGCCCCAACCCGTTCAAACTTTCCTAAGTTAGGGTTTAGGGTTCAGCGCGCCCCAACCCACCCAAACTTTCCTAAGTTAGGGTTTAGGGTTCAGCGCGCCCCAACCCACCCAAACTTTCCTAAGTTAGGGTTTAGGGTTCAACACCCGAGCCGCCCTCAAAGGGTTTTTTTTCGCTCTCCGCCTCCTCCCAGAGTTCTGCACAGAATGAGCACATAGGGTTTAGGGTTTAGGGTTTAGGGTACATTTCACAGCATCCCCCAAGTGAGATTGGTATCGGGCTGCTCGAAGTGTTGGGTGGTCTGCGGTAGGAAGCGGACTAGCAGATCCCTCCAAATGCTCAGAAGAGAGCCGGCAAAGGCCCGCCGGGCCCGAGACCGCCTCTGGGATAATTTCAGCACCCCAAACCACACCAGCAAGACATCGTGGGGGGGGGGGGCCTTGGGGCTCATTCTTGATTGCCTGACGGCAAGGGTCATGAACATGTGGCGGGGTCAGGACAATCCTCCTAAACCGGGAGGCTTTACCCACCCTCACTCGTTCTCAAAACACGCTCGGTCGGAGCTTCGGGCGCCCATGTAAATTGCCAGCGGCGCTCTGTGCAGTTTAGGGTTTTGGAGGTTTGCAGGGGTTAAGATCGCGACGGGGCCGATCTTCAAGGTTAATCTTCTGGTGTGTTTGCGTCGCAACGTTGTGCATGGGTTGCTTTTTGTGAGTTTGGGTTCGAGGTGGCTGCAGCGGGGCTCGTGTACGAATTGTCTGTGAAGCAGAACGACATGTACAGGGGCAGATAAGATACGGTTTAGCAGCCCGCACAGTCATGGCTGACCAGAACAAATATAGAGCCTGCCGGTCATAGCAGTCTGTCCGAAATGAACTATCAACACCTTGAGCCCGGGCGATGAGATCAGATGTTGAGCGAGACCCTGAAGTCCAAATTAATCTCTAGCGGCAACGCCTTAAAACCTATGTAAACCCTGAAAGACCGAACCTTAAACCCTGAAATACCACACCCTGCACCCTGTTTCGAAAAGCGAAAGCCCTATTCCCTAGACCCCTGAATCCAGACCTCACCGGGCCTCAATGCCCGCATATGCCTGCAGCGGCGGTTGGTTCCGAAACTGCAGCAATAGGGTAGAGAAAACATGCTGAATATGCTTGTATAGTACTAAAATGTACCCCAATTCTCCTTATCCCTTTGAGGATCCCTACATTATTCAACAATGCCTTCATATGCGCTCAAGATGCAGCCTGCCTGCAAGTGCAGGGTTTGGTAGGCCCGGGCCCAGCAAAACTTGTAGGGGAAACCCTTGAAAAAAGTTTTAGCCAATTGAACGTTCGAGCAATCCTCCAAGCCCTGGAAGTCGGGTTTCGGTTTCGATCTTGCGTTTGCCAGGGTGCAGCGTTTAGGGCAGTGATTGTCAAAGGTGCAAAAAGCACCTGCACGATCACGAGCCGGCGTGTGAGCCACTATCCCGAAGTCACCATGCGCGTGTGCCCGCAGCCCTCGCTGGCCAAACGAGCTCAATTGTTTGAGGGTTCTGACCGTCAAAACTCCCCCCCCGGCACTGTTTTTCTCTTGACACATCTGGATCATTTTGTGAAAGTGTGCAAGGTTCGTCCGCTCATGCCGTTGTGCCAGCGTGTTATCTCCTGCGCAAGGTATGTTCTCAGATGTTGGAGCTTGGTGCATCCGGAAGCTTGTAACATAGTGCAATGTTTCTCTAGCATGAAAGCCGCCGAAATCCTCGCGAAGCTGCCTACGGTGCGGCGAAAAGAGGCTTTGCCACCATACGCACTTTTGCACTCCGGCACCCGGTCCAAGTTGTGGGCACCCATTGACATGATGTGCGGGGAACAACCGCTCCTCTGAGCAGCTGACCATTTTCTCGCTTTGGTCCCACACTTTGTGGTCGTCCATTCCGCAGTAGTTTCCGAGAGCCGGATGATCAGCTGCCTTCGGTGGCTGGCATTTGTACATATTTCAGACAGGTAGAGCATTGCATCAGAAATCAAATGAAACGGTGCAGTTGCCATGCACCGGTGTCCTCGAGTTGATTGACCTTTGGGTTGTTTCTGGGGCCCACGGGTGCTCAATTCCCACACACACACACCGAGTACCGAAGCTTCAGGCTTCGTGCCCGCTACGTTTTCATTCTTCGAGCCTTTGTACACCCAGTTGTGCTTCGACAGGACGGCGTTGCTATCAGTTCTGGTGAATTTGTGATAAAGCTGCTGGTCTCCAAATTGATGTGAAAGGGCTCATTCAGAGGTTTGTTATGACTGCGTCTTGGGGCTTTAGTAAAGGTAGATCGCCCGAATGTGGTAACCCTGAGCCCTGAACGGTTTACATATGCCAGCTTCAGGAACTGGGGTAAGCTGTTCGAAGTGAGGATTTAAGGTTTAGGTTTTTCGTTTCAATTGTGTAGTGGTAGGGGTGTAGAATGTATGGTTTTAGGATTCGACTTATTTGCCGTCAGCAGGGTTAAGATGTCAATGTTTGGGAACCAAAAGCCTAGTGGTGTAAAGGAAACATTCGCCCAACCATAACACCTTGATACAGGAACAAGACATGTTTTTTTCCTCAAAAGAGACCAAGATGTCGAGCCCGTTCTGTCTTGGGAACGACTCCCTTGCTGATGTTCTTTTCGTGTTTCGGTGGTGCTGGCGTTCAGGCGGCTTCGTAGAGATCCACACGTTCAAAACTCAGTATAAGTTCCTTCCATATTATCTGTATGTAAATATAAAGTAAAATATGATGCTTCAGAGCTTTGTTCGAGTTATTTTGGCCCGTATTATACGTATCAGATATGCATGACTGGCTTCGTGCATGAAGGTTTAATTTTCGGGTTGCAGTGGATTCAGCTTCAACTTTGCATTTCCAATTTAGGTGTGGTACCGGTGCAGTTGGGGTTTCGTGGATTGCATGGGCGGGATGTGTGTTCTGAGGCCCAAAGTCCTATTGAGTGGGACTCTTCCGCGTTTGCGGCTATAATATAGTTCAGATTTCGCCGGGGCAACATAGGGCGCTGAATGCGTAACTAGAAACAACTGATCACATCCCTCTTTATTATATTCCCATCGCAATCATAGATGCTTTCAAACACACCAGAACCCAATTTGTTTAAAGCTTTTAAACTATACCCACCAGAACCCAATGTTGGTCTTGGCACAAGCCCTACAACGCCTTCCGGTGGAGTTTGCACTCTCAAGCCTGAACTCCACAACCCCACCACAGCCCTGAGCCCTCGCGCCCTGAATTCGTAGTCGGGCGCCCGCTCCTTGACTAGGGCTGGGGGTTCAGGGGAAACGTGCAACAATGTTCGTCGTCGTGGGTTGCTGAGTGTGACATCCAGGGATCGATCCAAATCTAACAGTATCAGTATCAGCTTGATCCCTGGCTCTGCGAGCCTCAATCCCCAGTAGGTTTAGGGCTTAGGTGATTTTCCGTTTATAAGCTTAAGTGAGGGCTGGTTGAGGGTGTAGGAACCAACCCCCAACCCTCCAAATTGGACCAGAGCACCATGGCATTGATGCCCTGAGTCCTATCAGCCAGCCGAGGTACGCGAACTATCATCCGAAGTGGCTTGGCTCTACGATTTAGTGCTCGTGTTGGGGCTTGGGCGACTTAGTATGCAATTTGGGAGTCGGGCTTGGCTTACGGGCCAATCCGTTCCTAAGGTTCAGGGTTTGAGGAGGTTTATCTGGCTCCAGGCTTCGGCTCAAATCTCTGCATATGAGGGTTCCTATGGCTGTCTAGGCTTTGGGGAGGCTTGGCATTGAGAGTCTGGGTGTTAAAAGAGGCGGTTTGAACCGTAATTCGTATTACAAGGCGTTCCCCCCTAAACCGTAAACCCTAAGCCCTAAACCCTAAACCCTAAACCCTAACCCTAAACCCTAAACCCTAACACACTTATTTCGTTTCGCCATGTGCTATCACCTTAAGACCCTAAGCCCTGAAGGCCCTCGTCTGCTTTTTTTTTCGGCCGGTACCTGAGGCAAGGGCAGGCCCGGGTCCCGTTTCGGGAAGGCCCAAGGCCACCGAGGCCCTCAGAAGGCTCTAAAGGGTTTAGGCTTTAGGGTTCAGGGTTTAGGGTTTAGGGTTTAGGGTTTAGGCTTTAGGGTTCAGGGTGTAAGGTTTAGGGTTTAGGGTTTAGGGTTTAGGGTTTAGGGTTTAGGTTTAGGGTTTAGAGTTTAGATTTAGGGCTTAGGGTTTAGGGTTTTGGGTTTAGGGGCTCAATCCCTGAGTCCTAAACCCCAGACCTTTGAAGGACCAAACTGTAAGATCACTAAATCCCCCCAAGGTCCAAGGAACCCTAAACCTAAACGCCAGAACCTTGAAGGACCAAAGCGTAAGACCATTAAAACCCCCCAAAAGTCCAAGAAACCCTCAACCCTTCCGCCCTTAATCCCACGGCCCCCCGCCTCGGCCCATGCAAGGAATGCGTGGGACAAAGATCCCTCGACATCTTGGGCGTCCAAAGGCGGGTCCTAAGCCTGGTTTAGGGTTCAAGGTTTGGGGCATCGGGGGGAAGAGGCTCTACGAGAAGAGCTTGGGAAGGATAGAGCAAGTGCCTATCCTCACCAGGTGGTTCAGGGATTTTCATAAGTCTGAGTAAGTCTTGCAAGACGTTCTGCGTGCGGGGCGACACACATCTCTCCGGCCACAATCAAACCCATTGCCCGAGGCCTGTAGACACAGCTGCCCAAATCCCACTCCCCGGTTAAAACTTTCAAAGCCACCGTAATATAGGGGCCTTAATTGATAATTAGAATGGGGTTTGATACGGAGCCCCCAAAGCCCTATTCTAATTATTAAGGCCCCCGCATCAGCTAAGCCCAAAGCTGGAAGATCCCTGGCCAAAGCTCTAAACGTGAACAAAACATCTGCCCCCCCCAAGCCCCAAACGCGTGAACGATCTGCCGGAGATCTCCCCTCCCACCACCAAACATCCTAAATGCCTACACTGTGCACCGTGTGGTTGTTGCATCAGAACCACTTACCGAAAGAGTCCCTCTATACAATATGAGGTCCCCACTTTCTCTTGTACACGCCCCTTGTTAAAAGCTGGTGCTGCCTGGGAACTATCCAGTTAGACTCCGACATCCTCGCCGTGGCGCTAAACCATGAGCCAGAAGCCCGAGACTGTGCCTAATGTAGGGGCCTTAATAAATAGAATAGGGTTTGGGGTATATTTTATTATAATTACCATAAGCTGCAGCAAGCCCTAAAACCCTATTCTAATCATTACGACCTCAAAACTACCCATAGGCCCCATACCAGTTCCTTTTGGGGATTACCTTATAGGATTCTAAATATAAGCCACAAAACCTATGGGTACACCATCCATGGGACCCGAATGACCAAGCCCTAGATCCCCGAGCCCTAGTAGCCCGGTTAAGGTTTAGAGTTTAGGGTTTAGGGTTTAGGGTGGCCGCACACCCCGACATCCTAAACAGTCCAAGCCCTGCGCTGTAAGCCCTAAACCCTACCTTAACCCCAAAAAGCCTACCTTCCTGTGGACTTATATAAAGAAATCATAAGAAGGATCCCTAAAAAGGTAGGTTCTTTAGGGTCCAGGTAAACCCTAAATCCCAAACCCCGAGCCCCTGAACCCCATACCCTTCGAGCCCAAGAGATCCAGAGGTGAGTGCGAAGCTGCAGGGACCTGCTGGCTCGGTTTCAGGCGCCTGGAATATTCATTCATTCTCTAAACCTTAAACCCTTATGTTCTCTAAACCTTAAACCCTTACTAAACCCTAAACCCTAAACCGGGTTTAGAAATTCTCTAAAACTTAAGACCCTTTTGAAACTCGAATAGTTCGAGGTTTAGAACCTTGACTTCAGGGTCAAACAGCTGAGCACTAAGCACCTCACACGGGCTTCCGGTGTCCAGCTGATGCTGCTGATGCTCGCCCAGTTCTTCGCTGGATCCGTTCGGTGCTTGGGCAGAACAACAATCACGTCGAACCAAAATCTTGCCCGCGGATTGAAAAGCACCGATTTGCCAGAGTGAGTCAAAGACGTTTTCGAGCTGATGCNNTGATGCTCGCCCCGTCCTTCGCTGAAGCCGTTCGATGATTGGGTTGAAGCGGAACCTTGCCGAGCGTTCAAAGGACCGGCGTTGGGAGAGTGAGTCACAATGGTTTTCCAGCTGATGCTGATGATGCTCGCCCAGCTTTTCGCTGAACCCGGGACCTTATTGTGGGTTCGAAGGACTGGAGTTGGGAGAGTGAGTCAACTACGCTTTCGAGCTGATGCTGATGATGCTCG